TCTGCTACCTAATGGGACCTAAAGCTGCCGTTAAATTTAAAGAACCAGAAGAACTGATATTGAAGAATTAATTTGAATTTAGAAAACTTCCTGGAAGGGAAGCGAAACGTCTTCAAACCTTTGAAACCAAGTCCAGTGGATTGTTTTTAAACTTTTACGGAATGACTATGACCTGGATGACTGGGAACCTTCACCAGCAACAAGGAACCAGAGGAACTAAAGGAACCAGAGGAACCAAAGGAACCAAAGGAACCAGAGGAACCAGAGGAACCAAAGGAACCAGAGGAACCAGAGGAACTAGATGAACCAAAAGAACCAGAGGAACCAGAGGAACCAAGGGAACCAAAGGAACCAGAGGAACCAAAGGAACCAGAGGAACCAAGGAAACCAAAGGAACCAGAGGAACCAAAGGAACCAGAGGAACCAGAGGAACCAGAGGAACCAGAGGAACCAAGGGAACCAAAGGAACCAGAGGAACCAAAGGAACCAACCATTAACAAAATGTGTTTTTTCTTGTAGCGAAATTGAGGAAAAATTTAAAAGATAAAAAGTAAAATGTAAAAAAACTGCATGTTTGGTAAAACGTTTATCCAGCAGGGAGAGAAATATTCATATCAGAAACAGAAAGAGGTTAAATATTTAAGCTTTTCAGAAATAGCGTTGAGTTCCAGGCTTATAGAGCGGAACAAAAACAAAACCTTTATTTTGGTTTAGAAACATGCATTGAACTGCTGTTCAGTTTTCTGAGCTAAAACACGGTTCTGTTGGGCTGCTCTGTAAAGATCGACATTCTTAACCTTAACAAGATAAATATTATATTTACATCTCTCTAATCTCAGCAGAAGCTTCGCCATGTGAGACGGATTTTCAATCAGAGAAACAGGAGAACAGCCTTCCTCTGCCTGCAGGCTGCAGAGCTGCGTCTGACTTCCTGCCTCCTCGCTGAAGAAGGACGATAAACTGAGCAGGAGGGTCTGAAAAGCTGCTAGTTTGAACTTTGCACTTTGCTCTCCACAGGGACCGCCTTTCTGAGGTGACATCAGTCACAAACGGACCAATGAGCAATCACTGTGTGCAGGCGCTGGCAGATGCAGAAGAGCCACATTTAGAGCTGCTCTTTGTTTCAGAGGAAAAGCAGAATAAAAAGCTGCCCAGTGTTCAGCAGGAGAAGCTGTGCTACAGACCACAGCTGGAACCAAGGATGCAGAAGGTCCTCCTGGTTCTAATCCAGCTGCAGGGAAGATGCTCATTGTTCAGGAGAAACATTCATCAGTTCAGCTGAAAGCTCAGGGAGTCTGACCCATTAATCCTCACTGCTTGGTTGCTAAAAACCAGCAGACATCTGGGAAAATAAGCTGCTGACTCTAAGTTCTCCTCTGAGGTTCTGGTCTCTGGTCCCAGGCTGCAGCCAGAAACATTGACCTTCTCTTACCTTGTACTTTCCACTGGTGGAGAAGCTGGACTTCCACTTGACGGAGTAGTACCGGACCTCTGACGACTTCTGGTTCTTGGTCATGGAGTTGTCGGCCCACGAGACGCGCACAGAGTCCGAGGACAGCGCTACAGCCTGGACCCCCACTGGGGGGATCATGGGAGTGCTGGTGTCTGGCATGGGAGTCGGGAATTTATCAAAGAGATGGAAAAGGTCCTCCTCTAAAGGGTCTACGGGGTCTGAGGAGGCCCAGGGAGCAGGAACCATGGCGTTAGTGGAGAGGGAGGAAAGGAATGCAGCCATGATGGTTTACAGACACAAACCAGGAGGAATAACAACATGAAATATGGTTTAAAAGATAAAAAATAAGATGAGGGGTGAGGAGGGAGTAAAACAGCAGAGAAAAGAGAGAAGAAGACAAAGAGTAAAAAAACTGAGAGACAAAAGAGCCGAACTAGAACAGCAGAGGAACGACGGATCCACAGCTAACAGTTATTACAGAATCACTAATTACCTCCTAGGAAACAGAAAATTAGGAGCTTTTATAATGAAAGCTGCTGTTAGTGTGGATTAGTGGCTCCAATCGCTAAAAGGAAGGATGCTGCCTTCAGCTGCCTTTAGCTGC